CTACAGTGTGTGGGTTGAATCACTGAGAACTAGCTCGACAGCAGGCAACACTGCCACTGGCTTTTACTGGTACTGTCTGGCTTCTCTGACCGTCCGACCCTCTAGATCTGCGGAAAGTGAGAAAGGCCAGGTTGTACGTGCCTTCTTTCAGTCTTTTTCCTTCCTTCCTTCCAGGTTCCCAACCCAATCTGCAAATGACTCCAAGACATCCTTTCACTTGGAAATATCAAAAATGAGTGAACTGGCAAGAAGAGGAAGCTCGTGGGAGAAAGGAAGGGAGGGAGGGAGAGAGGGGAGAGAGAGAAAAGGAGAGCAAGAGAGAAGGAGTGAGGCAGCTAGAAGGGGTTGCCTTTCCACTTCCATAAGACCGCGGTCACTACACCACTGTATTTCGGTGTCTGTAGGGCGGCGGGGGCAGCACAGTGCCAGGCTTCAGGGAGAACTCGGAGAGGTATTCAGGATTCTCTGCCACAATGGGCCGGATCCGTCCATTCTGTTTGTAAAAGTATTTTGTGCTGTACTCTTGCAGGTAGTCCGGGTGCTGGAGGGTGCTTCGTGGGGGCAGACTGTGATTCCAGTAGTCTGGGTTGTCAAAGGCCTTCTTGGCTTTCTCCGGCAAATTGTTCTTCAGGTACTCAGCGTTTTCCAAAGTGTTTGCAAAAGTGTTGAGGTACAATGGCTCGTTCACGTACTCATCCTCTGCTTTGGGCTGCCCGTTCGGAGCATTGTGATACTCTGGGTTGTCCACAGCTTGGAGATCTCCATTCTTTCGTCGGGAGACAAATGGGTTCTCTTCCACCGGGTTTAGGTAATCTAAGGAAAGATAAAAAATAAATCAGCAAAGAGAGGGAGTAATCCATCCATGTAGCAAGCATCATATGTATGTTACTACCAAGCTGTACCAGAAGCAGTACCTGGGACTTGTTTGTCCTCCACCCCAGACATTCCTAGAACTCCAGATGAGATCAGGTGCCGACTATGTTGAACATACAAGTGCTAAAAGTGAAGAATTTACAAACTAAACAGACAATATGGGTTAAAGTGAAGACCCTGGAAGATGAAGTGACTCATCAAACATACTGGCAAACTAACCTACAGCTGTCACTTAGCCATGGCCTGTGCCTTGCTTGATCCTGGACTTCCTCTCAGCGTATGATCTACAGAGCCAAACACGCCACGCGACTTCTGCCTCCGCTGCTGACTCTCTGTGCAACCTTGGGCGTATCAGTCAAACCCTCTGCTCCACAGTCTTTCCGTCCAGAAAGCTCTATAGAAATCTTAGTTAAGCCTCTCTATACAACAACCATCCCCGAGGGCTAACTTCTAAGACAGCTTCATTTCTAACAGAACAATTTGCCTGATTAAAAACCTTCCATCCCTGAAGGACAAAGGGCCTCGAAGCATTATGAAAAAAAATAATTCAAATGAGCCCTGGAAAGAGTACAAGAGAGCCTTGCATCAGCTCCAAAACAGGACTTGCAGTATGTTCAAATCACTTTCTGTGGATTAACACCACAAAACATTGTAGCTGAATTGCAGAAAGGTCTTAAGGCATATGGAGCTTGCATGGAAAGCTAGACAGGGGGTGGGGAGGGAAGAGAAACATCAACAGACTGGCTGCCCTAGGTTAAAAACACAGGCATAGTTAGGGCTCTCCCACGGTCACACACAGGCAACTGAGCCACAGAGCAATGGATTCGTTGAGTGTCATGTCCTGTCTTGCTTTGTGTAGAACAAGGTGTCACTACAGAACAGAAAGCCACTCAGCCTGGGCAGGAGGGGAGTCGCTGATGCTGCAAGTGGGCTGCAAAGGGCATGGCTTGGAGGTGAGGCAGGGACAAGAGGGACTGTGGGTGGGATCCCTGCAGCAAGGTACATCAAAAGCATCCAGTTCGTTCAAGGCTGGAAATGATCGGATCAAATCACTTCCACTTTCAGTATCAATTCTACCTTTCATCTCAAAGCCTAGAGGTTCCCTGCAAAACAGGGTCTCCAAGCTACCACCATTAGTGAGGGATGATCTCTCTGGCTGCCTGTGCCACACAGGGATTGCCAACACAAGACCACAATTTCCAGTGGCACGGCTCTGGTCACGGGCTCGGGAGAGGCAGAGTCCACACAGAGTCCTGCCTGCAAGAAAACAGGCCCCTGCCTGTTATAGGAGGATGGCTATGGTCCTCACTTCAGCTCTGTTTTTATCCAGGACAGGGCCAAAACTATTAAATGCAAAAGTTCAAGACTTAGCGAGTACCTTTGAACACATAGCTAAAACTTCACTGAATCTGAGGTGAACAGGCACAGGGACCCATACCAACTGCATAGTAGGAACATATTATTTCTTAGAAATGGCAGCTAAGCAGTGCTTTGATTTGAATTCCCCAGCTCACAGACAGCAGGCAGCATTGGGGCCACACTGTGACATCCCTGTGTCTGTGCCCAGTGAGATAGGGAGGAGATGCTTCCTCCTGAGCTGCTGCTACCACATCCCCAAGGGTTCCGGGGATGTTCCTGCAGAACTCAGGAACCCCAGGGCAAACCTTTATATGAAGATATGCATGGGCACTCGCTGAAGCAAACTCACAGCACCAAATCGCTTACTGCAAGGGTGGTTGCGGAAGTGTAGGGCCACGAGTGCACTCCCACTATTGCTACTGCCATGGGTCAAGCCCCAGGACTCCCTCCATTTCCACCATGTAACACAAAAGGTACACGGCTTCCAAATTCTGAAGCAAACGCAGTGGTTACTTGGCATTTACATTTGCATTAATTAATTAATTTCTTCAAAGGTAATGCAAAGGTCTGAAAGCAAATTACTAATGACATATCCCCTTACATCTAAATGACTGCTGTCACTATTTAAAAAGGAAGAAACGAATGACGGCAAACTGGGAAGTGTAGCACTCTGAGTCGGCACAGATCTAGGCAAACTTCACCTTGCTGTGATGGTCTCTCTGAAGCACATCTTGTTCTTTCAGTCCTAAACTTCTCTTGGGTATAAAATGCCAACTCTGTGTATCGGTTCTGTGACATTTACCAAGCACAGTGCCATGAAGATAAAGATCAATAAACAAAGCAAAGTGGAGGCTACAGCTGGCAAAAGACAGATCCTTTTCCTGGAAATAACTGAAGATTTGTGTTTGGATAAGGGGGTTTGGCTTTTTTTCATTCCTCTCTCTTGCTATTTCCCAGAAAGAAAAGTTAAAGGGAAATTACCAAACTTGGCATTTTAGCACATTTGAGTTTGTCATTTTAGCACATTTGAGTAGCAAATTAAGCAAAGAAAAATGAATCCCCATGCAAAGAAATATTAACCAAGTCAGAACGTTTCAACCTTGCTGAGTTACTCAATAAAGCCATTTTTGTTGAAAAGGTGCTGATGTAGAAAAAGAGAGAATGCAGTCAGACTAGAGCAGGAGTTTCTGTGGAAAGACAATTTTTTACCTGTTTTAGGTTTGTCTCGCATTGGTGTCATGTACCCATCCTCATCCAGCTCTCCCCGGACAACCCGCTCAGGTATGAAGACTGTGGGATCAGCGCTGTACCTCTGGGTGCTGCTGTCCTCTTTTGCCAGGGTTGTCACTTGTTTTCGTAGTGTGCCATTACAGCAAGTATCTTCAAAGATCTCTGCTGTAGCCCCTTGAGCAACTGGGGCTTCTGGTATTATGCAGCCAGGAGCTCTGTACGGCATTGGCACTTCTGCAGCATAGCCACCATCTCTGTACACAAACTGGTTCTGTTGAAAAAGAAAAGACAGCATAAAAAAGGAGGCTCCCAAGGGAGAGAAGATGCAACAGCAAGTCATCTCTGTGGCTCCTGTGCCTTTCCTGCCACAGTTGCTCAATGATGCATTTCACTGGGCGGGTGAAGGAAGCCTTGTCCATCCTGCAGACTACTGCGTTTCCAGCGCTGTGGGATAGGCAGCAGCACAGGCTCTGTTGTAGACCAGCAAAGCATCCATCTGCCCGGTGGTGCTGAGCCAGGTTCCCCTCCCAGGGAGGCACCACTGGTGCAGCAAGGGGAGCAGGGAAGCATGCTGGCTGCTCAGGGCTGGAAATGGGGCTAGAAATGGGGCAGGAAAACTTGTCTCCTATCAAAGACATGTGGAGGTTGGATATACACAGCTGCAAGAGGCAAACGCGGTATCTCCTCTTCTATTACTCTGGCAATCTCCCCCGATTTCTGAACAAACCCCTTAAACCTCATGTTAGAGAAACCTCCTTCTGCAAAGGAGACTGCGGATAGAGGACATTACCATCTCTGAACTCTGTTTATTCCTGGGGGGCTACATTTAGGGTGTCCTACAGTGACAATTACACGGTCACCCAAACACTATGTAATTCCATCAGGTAGTGCATCTCAGGCTGGTGAAGTGTGTTCTCATTGGTACCTCAACTCAACGGTTCAACTCAACCTACCATTTTGCTTGTCAGCAAGGGCGTGCAAGGGAATTTCGACATCATGACCTATAAATAGGAAGGAAAAATGTACAGATTCATCCAAGCCTGTTACCTAAGCGCTTTTTCAAGGAAAGTTGGCAGTTGGCAGAATTTTGGGTGTGGGTCCATAGAGCTTGCACACGAGTCCAGGCTGAGTGTAGAGATCCTGACTATTTGATTGCTGTCATACACACTCACTGTTGGCTTTTGGAAGGGGTTTGAAACAGAAAACGCATAGTGAAGGAAGGAGGAAAACCTAAAGGATGAAGGTTGAAGGTGAAATACTTACTCCTGACATAGGGGTGTAGGCAGGAGGAGGGCTGTGTCCAATTTCACTCTAATAGGAAAGAAAAATGGAATGATGGATACGTAATAAGAGGTCACATGAATGAAACAAGTCACATGAGCTGCATGAGCTAATGGGGAGTAACATGCACATCAGTTAGATTTCCTAACTGAATCCAAAATTCAAAGAATTAAATCACGGCAAATGTCTCACCAACTTTAAGAAGCTGTGTGCCTCACCAGTCTTAGGGAGGGCTACTGAGCTCCTCTTGCTGAGTGAGGGCAAGTGCCATGTTACGTCTGCTGACAGCTGTAGATCCTGCAAATGCCTCTTGTCTAATTTTTGGAAAAGCAGATCGTACAGAAAGAATGACAGATGGTGCACTCAACTTCAGAGGAAATACAGGGCAGGAGAAGTGCGGAAAGCGCCTAGCTCCAAGCCACAGCTTCCTTTCCCAGGGACAAATCAGGAGAAGGATAACTGGGAGAGCAGGAGGGTGGCAGGATTGTCATTGGACTGTCACAGCTAGCCTAAGTATCACAGGAAAAAGAGTCCCTAGGCTTTGGTAAACCCAAATCGCACAGCAGCTGCTGGATTTCAAGACTTCAACATGCCATGGTCCTGCTCTCAACATATACCACCCTTCTAATGTTACCTCTGTATCACAAGCTAAGGTGTTTTACCGAGAAGCCTAGAGGCTGTACACTGAAGTATCCATGCAGAGATCCTCATTTTAATATTGGTTTCTGGAATGATCTTACACTGCCCCGTGGACCCTGAATTGCTGTAACATTACCAGCACAGCGGCTGCTACTTAGTACTGCTACTCAAAACCGTCCTGTTTTTAATTGAGGAAACACTGGGGTTTAGAAGAAAATAAAAATGAAACAAAGAACCCTTTATTTTTCATGTGTTTTTCTACTTTTTTTTGTATTTCCCTTATCTCCTACTTGAGGGAAATAAAAAGTCAGGGTTTGAAAAAAGGTCTAAATTTGAGATAAATCAGAAGGAAAACCCCACCGCCTGAGCAAAGAAGCCTAACCACCTTGAGAACACACCACTTTAGGAGATATCTCATGCATCAAAATCTGTTTCAAAAACATATCCACACCAAGAAACATACCATAAATAATAAAATTTCAAAATTAAAAGACAAGACAACATGCATCCTCATGTAGTAAGAACTGGATGTACTACAGTCAATCTTTCCCTTATAAACTTCTTGCCAAAACATCGGGGTGGAGATGATGGTCACTGTCAAATACCTTACTTTATAAGGGAATGTTTTGTGTGTATGGAAAATACCTGCATCAGGAAAAAAACTTAAAAACAAACATAAACTTATTTTGAAATGCATGCTGCCCTGTCTGAAGACCCTTTTCTGGTAACCAAAAATATGCCTGTCTCTTTCTATTTGAAATATCCCTGCAGCCATTTTGTTACTCAGATGTAGCACCTTGTGTTTGAGGTGTAAATGTGGTGATGAGCCATAGTTAGAGATACGCTTTTCTCCATCCCCATGAAAATTCATACACATTTCATCAAATTATGACCTAAAAAGACTCCCGGTTGCAAATTACATAGAATCACAGAATGGTCAGGGTTGGAAGTGAACTCTGGAGATCATCTAGTCCTACCAGACTAGATCATCTAGTCCTACCAGAGCAGGGTCACCCCCAGCAGGTTGCACAGGACGGCATCCAGGAGTGTTTTGAATGTCTCCAGTGTGGAAGACTCCACCACCTCTCTGGGCAGCCTGTTCCAGTGCTCTGCCACCCTCAAAGTAAAGAAGTTCCTCCTCATGTTAAGATGGAACTTCCTATGTTCAAGCTTGTACCCCTTGTCCCTCTTGTCCTATCACTGGGCCCCACTGAAAAAAGACTCTTCCCATCCCCCTGGCATCCTCCCTTTAAGTATTTATAAGCATTAGTAAGATCCCCCCTTCAGTCTTCTTCTCTCTAGACTAAAGAGACCCAAGTCCCTCAGCCTTTCCTCATAAGAGAGATGTTCCAATCCTGTAATCATCTTCGTTGCCCTTTGCTGGACCCTCTCCAGCAGTTGCCTGTCATTCTTGAACTGGGGAGCCCAGAACTGGACACAATCCTCCAGATGCAGCCTCACCAATTACAGAAGTGCAGGAAAACCTTTGTTAGTTGAATTGTCTATCTCCACCATCCATTAGTAAGGCTTGAGCAGGATTCTGTAGTTGTTTTTTCACCAAGAAATTAGGTGCTGGAAGGAAACACAGGAGAGGATCTACCCCATGGTCTCAAGTGATCCCCTGGCCAGTCGGAGGAGGAGGAGGAGGAGGAAAAGGCAGTCTGAGCAGACTGCAAAGGAGTTGAGAGTCTTGCAAGGAAAGTAGGGTTGGAGGAGCTGGCAGCAGGGATTGCCAGGAGCCAGGGAACGGTGGCTGGCAAAGGAATAGAAGACAATGGCAAGTGAGAGAGACTGTGAGGTGCAGGGAGGGAGAAAGGGTTGGCATGTGACAGGAGGCTGAGTAGGAAGGGAGAGACAGTAATAAGATCTAAACGTGACAGGGACAAACGGGAGGTACAAGGACAAAAGATAGTCTGAAAGCACTGAAACAGCAGCTTCTCTAGAGGCTGGAGCTGAACTTGAATCTCCTCTGCTGTCAGCAAATTACTCTCAAATCAAATGGCTGAACGCAGGCCTGGTTCAGCTGGTGCGGAGGGAGCCGAGCAGCCCCCGCTCCACCCTTAGCACAAGTGGCAGAGCTCTGCCTTGTGCAGTCAGCGGGAGCTCTGAGGGCTCTGTGCGTGGTAACAGGGCTGGGGAAGGAGGGGCTGAGACACCACTGAAGTCAAGGCCAACTGTGATTGGTTTCACCAGGCGTTTGCTGAAGAGCTCATTATGTTCAAAAAGCAGAGGTTAAACTCAAGCCCTAGGCCTGGGAGGAACTTTGGCCTCTCTGACCCAGCTGTGGCTGCTGACAGCCAGAGAAGCGAGGATGATGCCAACTGCAAAGAAAGTGCCGTCTAAGGCAGTATGGAAAGAGATGGCAGAGGGTTTGACTGGCTCAGCCTGGAAACTTCAGTGCTGCTCCATCTGTGCGTGGTTTCTCTCTTATTTAAGACAAATGCACTCGTATCCAGAAGAACAACAGCCAAGAAAGGTTCACAAGCCGGGAAGGAAAAACCAAAGCCAGCAGTTGCCCGGCTGAAATGATCACACTTGAGAGAGATCATAACAGAAGAGGGAACAGAAGACACTTTACCAGAGATTACTTTGTTTTGTTTTTTTTTTTAAAGGGAGCAGACGTCAAGGTCCTCAATACACATCTGGGTACAGACTATGCAGCAAGCTTGTAACTTTGGGACTCTTCTGCAAGAGGCTTGTTTGGGACAACTAGGAATGTTCCTTTAATCAGAGAGCACCGTGGAAACTGGAGTAGCTCTGATTGCAGAGGTCAGATCATCTCTGAACCCCTTCACCTTTTATTGTGTACCACAGATTTACTGTCACCTTGTAATGACACATGGACGGGTTACAACCCAGAACGTGTTATAAAAAATGGGTAAAACCCCATCCTCTGAGCCTGCCATGTGCTACTTTGAAATCCTACTGCTGGCTATAGGATGTTGCACTGCAGGAAACTTCATCTGCCTTCTCCTTGCCCTCTGACTTCATATTTACGTGAATTCAGGGAAGCTTTCTGTATACTCCAAAAAGACAGAGAAGGAAAGACTGAAGACAGGCAAGTAGTAAACTATGGTCCATGGAGGGTGGTGAAGATTTAGGCAAGCTGATGATTACAGGTAGGATCCAGAGAAGAAATACAAAGTGCTGACTACAGAGAGTCAACTCTCTTAACAGCGAAGAATCCAAAGCTCTGCTGGGAATACTCTACCTCCTCATAAAACACCCCAGCGTGTTCCCTCCCGCCTGCAGGCTGCGAGACTCCAAAGAGGGGGTTTGCTTCTTTTGGTCCTCCAGACTGTAGGAGGGTGAAAAGAACTGTAGCTCTACGGTGTTAGTATTATATACAGCATATTGGAGTTCTCTGCTGTCCACTTTTCACAGACACTAAACCAGTGACTGTAACCACTCCCTTTCTATTCGGTACTACACCGTTCTATATTACACACCTTTAATTTACATCTTTCTTTTTTCACAGAGGCACTCTCATAAATTTCAACTTGTGGTTCATTGATTCTGGATGAATAAGGGGAGAGCTGTCTTGAACTACTTTTAGTTCACAGTCCACAGCGATCTCCTAAGTGTAACTTAGAAAAGCAAGTCTTCTGTTAGCGGGCTTGCCTTCAGTACACAGGGCTATGCTCCTCTGCCAGTAAATGTTTAGACAATTAGCAACTTAAAAAAATATTTTTCAAGGATGGCCACATTATCTGTCTGTGGGCATGCTTTGCTCCACCCTCACCACAAAAGGCTAAACCCACTGCCCTATCTTTAGAACTTCTTGGCTGTGACTCTAACATTTAAATACATACTATGCAACTATAACAACATAATAACAGGCCCTCTTAGAATAGCCCTGTCCCACAACGTCAGGAAAGAATGGACTAGCATTAATGCATTCATTGCTATTTTTGCTGACAAGACCCTTCCCAGTCAGTGACCTGCCAACGCAGATCACAGTAATTGTATTTTCTTCATGCATCCCCTTTAGCTCCGTACTAAACATAGCTGTCTTGCAACCCCCCTTAACACAGAACCTTACAGCCTGGCTCTTCCCCAAACCACTGGTGTCTGCACACTTTTTAAATTCTTTATTGTTTTGCCCCATGAGTTAATACCCTGTAGCTGGTATTCCAAAAAAAAAAAAAAAAAAAAAGCAGGCAAAGAAAACAGCTGTAGTGCCAATTAGTGGGGCTGGAAATGTGATATAATTGTTTAAAAGTCTTTAAATTGCCTGCTAATTGCAATGTGATGTCATCATTTTTTAGGCTTCCAAGGTAAGTACTGAAAGGCCCAGCCACCTCTTATTGGTCAGGACATGAATCACACTGTAAACAGAAAATATATTTGGACCTTACCAAGTAAACCTTAAACAGCTTGATTTGTATGTG